CCAGGTCCCAAACCTGCTGGAGGAAGGCAAAAGATGAGAACCCCCACCAGAGCTCACAGCCTAACCAGGACAATCCAATTTTCCCTTTGCGGTAGCTGTAGTGGTGGTGGTGATGGTGGTAGTAGTTGCAGTAGCAGTGGCAGTAGTAGTACATAGTAGTAGTAGTAGTAGTAGTAGTAGTTGTTGTTGTTGTTGTTGTAGTAGCAGCAGCAGCAGCAGCAGTCGTAGCACTAGCGGCCGTAGCAGTGGCATCAGCAGTAGTAGACGTCGTTGTTGCTGCTGTTGTTCTTGCGGCCGCAACATGGGCAGTAGCTGAACCGGAGGGAGGAGCGGTTCGGGAATTTCAGGCTCGCGTCAAGCACTCCATAACACCTGTAGTCTCCATTGTAGTTCCTTGTTTTGGTTTAACCAATTATATGTTAAGGGTTCTACAAGGTATCCCCAAAAAGGAACTACAATGGAGACTTAAGGCAGTCGCGAAGTAAAGCCCCAGCGGGAACCCGAACCTCGTGTCAGCGATGGAGACAGAGCTGCGATATGCGGCAGAAAAGACTCGTTGTTCTTCTGGTTGGCTCTTAGGACTTTAACTTTTTGGGTTTCTATATAACTACAATAAGGAGACTAAAAGTTTAACTTTTTGGAGGGGTTCAGAAGTCAACCAAAAAGATGTTGGAGGAAGCTGGCCCTTGAGCCCACGGGCCGCTGGTGTTCCGTTGCCAGGACTCTTCCCCCACTGTCTATCTTGGCTCTCTGTTCCGAAGTCATGGGTCAAGGTTTGCTAAGGGCCTGATTGCTGACAGCCGCTACGGTTGAACCGATGTATGTGTGGTTCAGATAAACCCTAAACCCTAAACCCCTAAACCCCTAAACCCTAAACCCTAAACCCCTAAACCCTAAACCGTGCTGGCCAGGATGTTCCCTAGACGGCAGGCAGATGCCAAGGGGAAATCCACGTATCAAATGGGTAGTTGTCAAAATTATGGTCCCTTATGGGGTACCCTAAATAATAGGTGCCGTATTATAATAAGGACCCAGCAAGGGACCCTAATTTTGACAACCACCCAAATGAATATGACACCCTAGCAATCGAAGGTCGCAAGGTCTGAAGCCCTAGTATAGAGAGAGGCCTTAGTAATTTGAACAGGGTTTTGCGGGGTATATTAGAGCAATAATACTTAGAAAAGGAACTGTAAGACATAGTAGTGCGCATAATTCTTGAGGCCTCTGTCTCCATTGTCGTTCCTTTTTTGGTTTAACCAATTATATATTAAGGATTCTATAAGGTATCCCCAAAAAGGAACTACAATGGAGACTATAGGTAATCCCTCCAGAACTGTAAACCACCGTCAAGCGCTACAGCTCCGAAGCCCGTGTATCCAAAACTGCGCACTCTGACCGATCAGCGCTAGAACCGGTGTAGGACTTTCAGTAGCCAGTAGGCCTTCAGAACGAGTGCAGGAAACTGCGAAACTTCATGAAGAGCCCTATAAGCCCTAAACCCTGAACCCTAAACCCTGAACCCTAAACCCTAACGTTGACCGAAATCCGACGCTTCCGCACCTAAGCCCTGAGCCAAACAAGGCCGTCCGGCCTGGACAGCGCGGGGGTAAACTCCTTGCAGGTGCCGCCCATTTACAGGCCTGGCCAGCGCTAAACAGATCCGTATGTGTTTGTTTGTATGTGTGTTTGGTTGTTTTTGTTGCTTGTGTTTGTGTGTGTGTGTGTGTTTTTTGTTCGTTTGTTGTTTAGTTGTTTGCGTATTTGTTTGTGTGTTTGTTTGTTTGCTTGCTTGTTTGTTTGTTTGTTTGTGTGTCTGTGCCGGTGTTTGTGTGTGTATGTATGTATGTATGTACGTATGTATGTATGTATGTATGCATGGATGTATGTATGTATGTATGTATGTATGTATGTGTGTAAGCAAGTAAGTAAGTAAGTATGTATGTATGTATGTATGCATTTGTACATGTTCATGTACATGGATATGTATATGTAAACATGTACATTTACCTATGAATATACATGTGTGTGTGCATTGATATGTGCGTGTGTCTGTTCAAGTGTGAACCTACAGACATGCATGCATGCATGCATGCACACATGCATACACGCATGTGCATGCGTACGTACATACATACATACACACATACACATACACAGACAGATACATTTACATATGTATCGATCTACATATGTATATAGAGATATGTACATGTTAAGTATATACATACTTATGCACAAGCGCATATGCATGCGTAAGCGTGTAGGTCTGTACATGTAATGCAATGTAATGCGCAATGTCACGCAATAAAATGTGAGACAACGGACCACAACGCAGCGAGTGTGGCGCAGCCTAATGTGGCATATGCAATGTAGGATCATTCAGGCATGCATAGCATGAATGTACAGTGAATGTATGCACGCATGAACGCATGTATGCATGTGTATGTATATATATATATATATGTGTGTGTGTGTGTGTGTCTGTGTGTACCTATGCATGTATGTATGCATGCATGTACGCATGCATGTATGTATGTAGGTAGGTGCGAAATAGTGTAATGTATTCGGATGTAATGATTACAAGGTAGTGTGTTGTACTGTAAGGGAACGTGATCTGCAGTTAGTTATGCATGATATGTTTTTGCAAGGACTATTGGAAACGTTTGCATTGTATGTTATGTTATGTAATGCCTGATTCGTAAGAACTGAATTATAATATGATCGACTGTGGTTTTCGTAACATGGCTTATTATGTAATGTAGCATAAGATAGCATGACGTGTAGTTATGTATGTATGCATGCATGTATGTTTGTATGTATATAGGTACGTATGTACGCATGTATGTATGTATGCATGTACGAACACAGGCGCACATGCATGTGTACACATATGTTTACTCTCCGACGTGTGTGTATACACATGCATCCACACATACATACACACATACACACATACACACATACACACATACATACATACATACATACATACATACATACATACGTACATACATACATACATACATACATACATTGTATCAGAACATGTATGTACATTCTCATGTTCGGATACAGGCATTATCTTCCTTTTCCATGGCGCGTTCAGCGTGGGTGAACCGGTCCGGAGTTGGAGCTTCAGATCATAGGCCGCCACACATCGAAAGAGTATGAAAACTCGGTAGCATCACTGAAAATCTAGGTTTTAAAGCCCACCCTGTCCACCAAGTGTCCGTTTCTGGGCGATGCCGCTGGTAGATGGCACATTTCTCTCCTGGATTCCCTTCCTGTCGAGGTCTCGTGGTCTGCTCCACTTTTCTTGTTGAATGCCTGCACTCCATGCTTTTTTGGGCGATGCCCGTCATCATTCTCCTTCTGCAGCCGCTGCCCCACCCAATGTGCATCCCGAACCTTCAGGTCATAACAACGCGAGTCCTGCACCCCAGCCCAACAGTTGCAAGATGCTTTGCTAGAGTAGCTACAGGGGACTCAACTTTGATGCAAAAGTCTCACCCGCCACAAAGCCCAAAAGCCCAATACCCCAAAGACCCAGAGCAGCACTATGCCACGGTTGGGGCTTATCTGCAGGTCGGACGAGCCTTCTCCTTTGACCAGTACCAGTCCTTGCACCACTACAAGAGCCCAGTCAGACTCTCAGGGGTTTGAGGCGGTACTTTTTGCACAAATGAGTACATAGCCTATATGGCTATACTGAATGTAACCATGGTCGCCGTATGTATGCATGTATGTAACGCATGTGTGTATTATGTATGTCTGTATGTACGTATGTATGTATGTATGTATGTATGTATGTATGTATGTGTGTATGTGTGTATGTATGTGTGTATGTAAGTACTGTATGTAATGTATGTAATTATTAATTATGTATGTATGTATGTGGAAACATGAGTGCACCTATCATCTATGTGTGTATACACCGATATACATACATATATACATATTCATATACACACATGTATATATATATATACATATATATATGTATATATATCTATGTATGTAGTATATGTATGTATATGTGTATGTTTACACACCATATGTTGTTTTTCAGCTGTTGCTTAGGCTGCAGGCTGTCATTGCTGCAACAAGCATGCCGCCACGATTACTGTCGGTGCTGCAGTGCTGCGACAGTTTACATTTACATCGTTCACCAAGCTTGCTGTGCTCAAGGATAACTATCCAGCTTTGCCGGTTCATCGTGCCTCCTAGGGTCTTTATTGTATCGTCGTATTCGTTCGACAAATGTCGCTGCATTCCAAAAATTACTCTACTTAGACAGCAACATGCATGAAAAGCAATCACAACTGGGACACCTGGAGCCTGAAATGTAGGTTTGCGTGTAGCTTGTAGCCGCAAGGCTACAGGTGCCCCAAGCTGGATTTCGAGTCAAACGGCGATAGCTCCCTAACTTAGACCAGCTAAAAACAAAGCCATCATGCGCAGCTGGTGTGGATTTTGCCTGCCATCCCTAAACCCTAAACACCTTTTTTTGCTCGGAGGTCCACGAAATCGTTAAACGAACGCCGCCGCGGCCGGGGCTTGGAAGAGTATGAGGATGGGGCCAGGCGAAGAGGGACAACCTTTTGATAAGGCTTTAGGTCTTAAGGAATAAGGGTGCTTGAAGGATTTATGATGGTTGAGTAATGGTCTTTGAAGGGTTCCCAAGGCTCTATGAAGATTCGATGAGGGCGCAGGGTTTGGGGTTCAGGCTTCACGGCTTTAGGGGCGAGGGCCTGGGAGGTTTAGGGTTCAGGGTCTGGGGCCAGGCGAGCCGTCTAGAGCTTTAGGCTTTAGGATGCTGTTGCGGAGACTAAGCAGATTGGTATCAAAAGCCGTGGAAGCTGCACGTGGCGAAGAGCAACGGAAAGAGGGGTAAGTGCAATCATTCAGTCACCACTCTGAACCGTCAGCTTGTTTCTGTTGAGTCCGTTACATACTAGACATACTTCTAGTTGCACGTAGCCTTGGTCCCAAGTTGAAACATGACACTACCAAACATCACGATGACCATGTGCAGAAGCCCTTCACCCGCTAAACCCTGTCAGAAAGCCTGCTTTGGCACGTTGAACCCTTCTATTTTGTGCACTTGCCACAGATGGCCTCTTCCACAGAAATCCATGCGCAAAGCTTGGTTTAGGGTTTAGAATGGCTTAGGGCTTTAGGGTATTAGGGACTATAATAGGTTTTAGGGTTTATTGGATTAGGATGGTTTAGGCCTGGTGTGCCCCACTTTGTCGGGAATTATCAAGCGATCTCTAGATGGGCATTCTCCAGGTTGCATCGCAGTTTTTGACGTAGGGTTCCAGCAAGTTGCACAATAGGTTCCTGATCATATGTTCTGTGACCAAGCTACCCTTAATTTAGCCAACTGGAGCCCTAGGGCGATGTCCAAAGATTTGTGGTGCCCATGTCTTGTTACCATAACATATCTCTGCACACTAAGTATTCTTGTTCGTTGCTCTATCGTACTATCTGCATTAATCAATGTATACAAGGCTGCCGAGGACTCCCAACTGGCGAGTCGGAACATTGACACATCAAGAACTCGATAACCTGCTGCTATTCCTTAGGGTTCTTTTTTGATGACGCATTAAAATCTACCGCGAAGCCAGGCACTGAGTTAAGAGCCCTCGTTGCAGCAGGGTCTCCTTCGACACGGCCTCCCTTGTGTCCGAGCGTGTGGATGCTGAAATCTCCAAAAGGCCATCCGGGTATCCCTGAGACTTTAAACTTGCCCAAGCTAGGTATGGACTTTAGACCGCAAAGTAGGTACTATTCATATACTTGGAATCTTATACCCCAATGCAGGCACTCTTCGGAAACTTGGGGTCTGATGCTATAGGGTTTAGGGTTTAGGGTTTGGCGAGGCTCAGATATGCAGAGTTTTTACCATTCCCTGCTGTTGTGACTCCTCAGAGTCTCCAGACCTAGCGGTCTGAGCTGTCGATCCGTCCGGCAGCAGTTTGGGTCTAGGGGTTTGGGGTTTAATACAGGGGCCTAAATTACCAATACTATTTTGGGGGCTCCTTATTAGGATTATAGTAGATTCTCCGCCAAAATCTTATTCTGACCATTAAGGCCCTTACATTAGGGATTTAGGGTTCAGGGTCTTGAGAAGCCGTGAGCTGTTGTGTGCAATGAGACAGCAGAAGCGAGGGCTTAACGAAACCCTTAAGAATCTCTACTTGCACGCCTGCAACAACGTTTAAAATCCTTGTAATTTGGCATAAAACCATTTGAAACCCCGACACCACAGCACCTCGCTCGTTCAACGAAGTTTGCCTGGCGACTCCTGCAAGGTGGGATATAACGGGCTTCTCTACTTCTTGGTCCTCTAACAAAACGAGGAATCCTTCTACATTGCAGACCACCTCGGAAGAAACTGCCCATCTGAAGACTGAAGATGTCGGTAGTGAGGCGTGTTACCAGGATTACTGCTTATTCAAACGTCAAACAAAGTAGCCGAGCTTTAGTGAAGGTACGACATCGACATGCGCGAGATTGGAATCGGAGGATACGGAAAGGCTGGGATGACTTCGGATTTACTTAGGGCTGCAAGGGAGAAGCTAGCGCGAGCAACCGATAAGACAGATTGTGTAAAACGCGTGTCTCAAACCCTACCCGAGGACTAGTCCACACACTGCTTGTCGTTGAGATGAACTCAATTTGGACGGTGCAGCTACCCCCAATCGCAAGCGTTTCCAGAGGGCTTCAATGTGAGGGCTCCAGCCGCGGTTGGAGGGTAAATGTCGTTTTAGAGGCTGGTGAAGTCCATGGAAGCCTGCAGTACACCGATAACCTCGTAATCCCCTTCAGCCGAGGGACCTGCTCCAGATAGACGGTAGAAGCATGCAGGCAGGCGCATGCATACAGCAATCGACTGCTTTTGAGTTATAGCTATAGGGGCATCATACGAGTGGGTTGGTTTCAGTTGTGGCGGAAATAGCAATATCGGGCAAGCAGCAAACGTAGACATTACTGGCCGGCTGTTAAGGCTATTTTTTTTTATTGATTGTTGTTTTCACAAAACAACCGAAAAACTTAACAGCCGGTTGAATTCACTGAACATGTCGCGTCAATTATAT